GTTACTATAAGAAAGTTTTCAAAAAAAATCCAAAACATAACAAATAATTACTCTAAACACTCATCTATTATTCCATGTATTTTAATTTAGTTATTAATATGTAATATAAATTTATTCATATGACACGTATTTTGTAATCACTGGTTTTCAGCATTTTATTAGTAGATCGTTTTATCACATGACTACATAATTTTGCAAAAAACGATAATTTACAATAATTTTTATATTAATATAAAATATAAAATCAAGGCTATTTAATAAATACAAATTTATTATTATGAGATTTATATTTCTTGAGTTATATTGATTTGAAAATTAGTTTTTTTTTATTACAGTACTTTTGTAAGCCACTGTAAGTAAAATAATTTCATCTTCTATAAAAAACTATTTTAACTTTTTTTTTCCAAAATTGTAATTTCAGAGTTCTAAAATAATTTTGCATACAAGTATAGTTGTAATTAATAAATTTGATAGAGAAGAGTTACAGTATTTCATTTCTCTAAGACATGATATATCCAATAAGATCTATGGTACTGAACATATATCAGGATGTATACTAGCACCAACATATAAAAAGATAAATATTTCAGTAGAGATTCAAAAAAGATTATATAGATAATATGCAACATTATATATGTAATTTAAAAAAGAAAGATGTGAAGGTATATATGGAAGTGATTATGAATCAACATGCAAAGTTAATAATAGAGAATGAAATATTTGAGTTTAAAATTACAAGCTGATATGAAAATAATGTAGTAATCTTAGCAAAATGGAAGGTCTTTAAAGATAGAGCAAGTGATATTTACTCTGAAGAGATACAATATTATTTTGAACATATACTTACCCTTTCAAATTAATTAAGAACACATCTTTTAATCTACGTCAAATGGTACAAAAATGTGTCTTCCTCTGGTATTCAATTTAAGTATAAATTTATGACATTTTAAGTATTAAATACAGAGTTGCGAAGAGAAGAATATTATAAGGAAGATATAAATTTGATTATTGCAGTATATAGAATATATGATCGAGCCATTAAGATAGGCTATCAGGTGGAAAATAAGAATAAGAAAAATTATATTTCAATAGTTCCATTGAATAGAAGATTTAATATTTAATTTATTTTATTTAATAATAATAAAGAGATTATCTAATACAATGAGCATATAAACCTGATTTTCAGCAAAATCAGATGTCTGATATAATGTAAAAATTTTTACACTGATATATCATTAATAAAATATTAGACATCAGAATTAATAATTTTTTTTAGGTATCTGATATTAATAATAATATTGTGTACCTAAATAAAATAAATAGAATACCGTTCGTCCAATATTATTATTTATTATCATACACCTGATATTCAAAACAATATTAGGGACCTGAGATAATAATAAAATTTATCTTATACTTATCACTATTATATCAGGTGCTGTTACTAATCGACCTTTTGAGCTAATTTTATTTTTCAAAAAGCAATTTACAACTAACAACTCATAAACAGTTACTTTAGTTTACGAATTGAAGAGGATAATAAAAGAAGAAATAAAAGAAATATTAAGTTAAATATTAAAAACTAATTAAAAGACTTAAGAAATTATTATCACAGGTTTTAAATATTGATTAATAATTAAATTTTAAAAGTCGATTTAAAAGATTAAGACAAAGAATTAAATATATTTATCAATGGTTTATAAAATAGTAACAAAAATTTATAGGTCAGAATTTATATTTGAAGAATATAAATTAATAAAGAATAACAATTTTAATATAAAAGATATGAGTTTATTACAAAGAAAAATCAATAATCCAATTACTTTAGGATTATAAAAATATTAATTCAATTATAGAATTAATTTACAATTGAGATTATTTTCTAAATTTTACTATTTAAAATTATTCGAATTTTATTTGAGAACTATCTGAATCTCTTTTGAGATAAAGAGAAAACTTATCCTTTTTATAATATTTGATTTGACCAGTAAGTTGATCAGTAAGTTGATCAAAATTTTGGTTAGTAATTTCTTGTTGAAATAAAAACATTTGTATATTTTCTATACTTTTTAATGTTATACTAATTTCAATAATAACTGGTTCAATACTGTCATCTAATTCTTCAACATCTTTAATATTTTTTTTTGACTTTTTAAAAATATCAACAAGTTCTATAATAATTTTATTATCTTTCAAATCTTCATAAATAATATTTTCTTTTAATATAGAAAGAAATTCTTTTATACTCATTATATTAAGAAGGTGAAGTGTCTAAATATTTTTAGAATATCATTTGTTAATTCATTATTATTTTCATTATTAATATCATAAGAATAACTATTAGAAAATTTATTAAAAGTAAGAATATTTGTATAATTCCAGCAGTTATAAATTGTTTCAACTGTAACTTTATCCCAACTTGAAATAATAAAATGAATTCTTGCAAAACATTCATTTTTAAATCTTGTATAAATTGACCAACTTCAACTTGTTTCAAAATCTATCTAAATAAAATAATTTAAATTTTTAAATAATTAAATTAAATAAAATATTATTCAAATTTAATTAAAA